AGCTGTGTCTCCCACTCTCTGCATTTCTTAGTTGCCTGTTGTGTAGTGTTGAGGCTCTGGGGCTTTCCCCCCATCCACACTGGCATGGATGTCCACTGATGTCATCCTTGTTTAGCTCATGTCTATGCAGTCATACTGGTGAGACTTTATGGGTATAGTTTCTGACATCAGTAGGATACACCATCTCACAGCAAAACTCCGGTTCCTCTGCCTCTTGCAATCTTTCTGCTCTCTTTTCTGCAGTGTTCTCTGAGTCTTAGGTGTGGGACTGTTTTGTAGATGTATCCGTTGCGGCTGGGCAAACGTCCAACCTTAGGACAAAAATTCAGAAATTTTAGTTCATTTTTGAGACATACTTTGCTAATATGCTCAATACTAGAACTACCAATTAATCTTCTATACTGTGGTGGTGATATTTATGTGAAGAGACATGAGGATTTATTTATTTCTTTATTTTTGTTTGGCAACTGGGTAGGTATGCCACCAACTATAAATTCCTGATCTGAGTTTCTTTCATCGTGGACTGTGATATGGAAGTGTAAGTGAGTTATGCTTTTCATAGTCTTGACAGGTTAGCCAAGGAAAAATGTTATAAAAGAAGATGAAAAAGTTTCCATTGTAAAAAGCTTGGATAATTTGGAGACATCACTGTGCATGGTAGAGGTGAAGAATGGCAAATGTCCTGACAGTTTCTCAAAACTTCTCTTGGTTGTGCTTTGTTTTTAATATAAAATGTCTTTTATAGGATCATGTGCTTGAACTCTTGGTAAGATATGAGTCTAGGAGATGACATGCCATTGAAATAAGTGAAGCAATGGGGGTGGGCCTCAAGGCTTAGTCAGCCTCACTTCCTGTCTATGTTTTGCTTCATTATTGTGGGTTTAATGTGACCAACCACAGCATGTTCTTGCTGCCATACATTCCCTACACTACCATAATTGACTGTATTCCCTTAAACTGTAAACCAACATATGCTCTTCCCCCTTTAGAGTTTTTTGTCATAATAAAAAGTAAATCAACAACTATATGCCACATATAATATATGTATGTCTATTAATGTATAGTAATCATATATTATGAGATAATATATTAAATTTATTAATTTGATATGTATTAGTTAATTATTTATATATATATATATATATATATATATATATTGAGATCTGTATCTCTACATAAAGTCAATCAGGAAAATTTCTTACATTATCTGTTATTACTGATTATATAAATATTTTTACTTATTTGTGATATTTCAAATTAATATTTTCATCCTAATTTGATTTATGGGTTAAAATCCATTATGGGAATGTATTAACAAATCTTCCTAAAGTTTAGAAAAATTAATTAATTCACAGATCCAGAATTTTAAGTACAGATTTTAAATGGATTTCCTAAAGGTATTTGCATAATTTCCTGTAAGAGTTATTGTGCCTGGCTTTGGGAAACTATATTTACAGTATGTCATTTCAGAGTGTGCTGGCCAGTTTTATATCAACTTGACACAAGCTAGAGTCATTTTAAAAGAGGAAACCTAAATTGAGAAAGTGTTACTATCAGAATGGCTTGTGAATAAGCCTGTAGTACATTTTCTTGATTGATGATTCACATGAGAGGGATCAGCTCACTGTGAGTGGTGTCTCCTCTGGGCTGGTGGTCCTGGGTGCTGTAAGAATACAGGCTGAATCTAAGCAACAGTGCCCTTCCCTGATAATGAGATTGATGACTAACTTATTCACCATCATAGAGCCCTGGAAACAAAAGCTGACACCCACATAGAGCTGATGGAAACAAAAGCAGACACCCACAGCTAAACACTGAGCTGAATTCCTGGAATCCAGATGCAGAGAGGGAGGACAAGACCAGGCTTCAGAATCCCACAGAGACAGCTGACCTGACTAAGGGGGAGCTCGGGGAGCTCAGGGACCCCCAGACTGATAACTGGAAAACCATCATTGGACCGATTCAGATCCCCTTCAGGGATGATGTTCACATGTGTCTCAGTTAGAAGACCCGTACAGTCTAAGGGACCTCTGACAGTGGAACAAGGATGTATCCCTAGTGCACAAAAGGACTTTGGGAGCACTTTCCCCATGGAGGGATACTCCCCTAACCTAGAGGCCAGAGGGAGGGCCTAGTCCCTATTCCAAATGACTTGACAGATTTTTTTGATCCCTCCTGGAAGGCATCACCCTCCTTGTGGAATGTGTATGTGGGGGATGGGATGAGAAGTTGGGGGTGGAGGTAATGGGAGGGAGGGAGAGAGAGAGAACTGGGATGGATATGTAAAATAAGAAAAATAATAGTAATAAAAAAGAAAGCAAAAAAAAAAAAAAAAAAAAAAAAAAAAAAAAGAATACAGGCTGAGCAAGCTACAAGGAACAAACCTTAGGCAGCACAGGCAGCACAGGCAGCATCCCTCTCCTCAGGGCATCTGCATCATCACCTCCTGCCCCAGGTTTCTTATGTTCCTGCCCTCACTTCCTTCCATCATGGACTGTGATATGAGAGTATAGTTAAATAAATCCTTTCCTTCACACGTTTCTTTTGGTCACAGTGTTTTATCACAGCAATGGAAACTCTAAGACACAAAGGATCCAAAAATTTTATACCTCTTTTTAGGTTGTGGGAAAATATAAATGTGAAATGTGTGTCAATTTTATTTAAAGGTAAGCAAAAAAATATTATCCACAAGCCATACAGTATCCTTCATAAAACAATGCAGAAAAATATAATTGGTGATGCCATCTCTTGCAAGGGCAAAAAGAGTACAAAAAATAAAAGCAGTATAAATGTTATACTGCTTTTGTAATAGTTAGTTTATTATCAAAAGTAGCCTTATCTTACCCATTGCTTCTTGTCAAGTGATTTGATTCACAAAGAAGTTTTGTATTTGAATTCCAAGTGTGGTGCTATGGAGATATAGTAAGTATATTCTGACTTTAGGGATTATTCAATATTGTTCATAATGCAAATTTATCTTGCATTAAAATGGTAGATGTTTTTGTCTTGTGAATATGTATTTAAATGCATCCTATAAGCAATAAGCAACATTATGTAATTATTTAATGAAAAATCCCTCCTATTTGCTTCTGTAGTCACTTAGTTCCTGAAATTATCTGTTATTTTCCCTTTCCAATCCTTTCACATTCTCATTTACTTCACAGCCAGTTGCAGTTATTTTTCTAAAACTCCAATTTTTTTCCCACTCATCCATTGATAGCTTCATTGCCCAAGGATGCTATAGACATGATTTCTTTTTTCCTGTTTTCCTTAGTATTTTATATTAGTGAACTCTGTTTCATGTGGGAAATCTCCCAAGTGAGTGAGTGTATTGATTTCTTGAAGCTGCTATTTCAAACTACTAAAAGTGTGGGCACCTTAAAACAAGAGTTTCTTCTCTTCCAGTCAATGCACTGGTACAGTTGTAGAGCTCTTGCCTAGTATGCATGTGGTGCTAAGTCCAGGAAAAAAATGTCAAATAAAAACAGTGCCACTGAATAACAGATTTATTTTAGACTGTTCATAGGAAACAATTAGACCTTTCTACTATTCCCGGCGATAAAATTCTTGGTAGAGAAATGTTATACTTCAAAGGAATTCACACCCAATTTTGTACAGACTTAGTGATTGTTTAAGTTGCAATCATGAATGAAATTGCATGAATGAAATTACAAAATGGCTGCCATTGTGTTCACTGATAATATATTTGATCATCCAGAGGCAAATTTCATTGTCTGAAGGCAAGTTTAGTATAAAGAGAGAATTGAGAAAAGAAATTATAAGAATAAAATAGTTTTGTTCGAGAATAAGAAAATGTGTTGATTCCTGTAAAATCAGTTGAATATCTATAACTCTTCAGAGGTAAACTAGATTATATGGATTTATGAAACCACACTTCTTTGTACATTTGTCTTCTAATGTGTTGCAATTTGTATTAGTAAAATTCAGACATTTAGAACTTGCGCAACTCCTGTGGTATGATTTCCCCCTAAGCATATGCATCAATCTATAGTTATTACTGATTATTGGCATGTTTCAAAGATTTGTGACTTGATGTTGGATGATATTGTTTGTTTTATGAAAATATGATGTAATAAAATTTTAAAATAATGGAAAATATCACCTAAATAGCTAGAACTTTGTTAATTTATCCTGTTAAAATTACCCCTTTTGAGGGCTCTGGGGAAGATATCTCTGTTGGTAGAGTGTTTATCACATGAAATGTCAGGGACAGGCAACTGCTTAGCTCACCGTCTAATGGTAGTAGGGAAAGGATGTATGAAGCCATTCTCTATAATCCAACAAACATATGTTTATAACTTAATAGCACAATCAAGATTCAAGATCTATTCACAAATGTTAATTGTCATATCATTCAGGTTGTACCAGTGCCTATTCATTGCCATGATTGTTGTAAGAGGATATTGACACACAGAGGAATGAGAACATGCCACTGAGGGCTGTGCCTCTCCACTCCTGAGATTTATGTCTTCATGAAGTGGCACACTCAGTGACTCTCCTTCTGGACTTCACTACCCATAAAGCTATTATATTAAAAATGTAAAGCCTAAAGCAATTATCCCTAAAACAGATGCTGACACATCCCCTGCCTGGGCTCCTCTGAGAGTCTACATTCATCCAAATTGGAGCAGCTACTTTTGTTTCTGTCTCAATTCATTTTAATAATTTTTCTTTTCTTTTTTAAAGGGGTACTAACAGATGTTGGTTGGAGGGAGCTCTGATGACTAGGGACCAAATTAAGACCATTAGGATAGCATGAAATGACAATGAGAAACAGAAAAATAGAAATTACTTTCAGATACTCCTAATAGGTCCCAGGTTTGGGTTGGGAGGTAGCAGTGTCTCACTGCTCATCATTGGAGTTCCCCTGCTTCCTTGTTCTCTAACTCATCTTACCTTAAAAGTGCTTTTGAAATGTTTTCACTTTCATATGGTCTTCATTCAAACCATTCATTTATTTTTCATTCCTCTCTCTTTAGGGATGCGGATCTTTTTCTGTTAGACACAAGGAAGGCACAAGCTTTGGATGTGGGTTGGCTTGTCTTTGACATCACTGTGACCAGTAACCATTGGGTGATTAACCCACAGAACAATTTGGGCTTGCAGCTCTGTGCAGAGACGGGGGATGGTAAGTCCTGACCTGAATGTTTTCAATGGGACTTGCTTATACCCATGGCTTTTTGTGTTATTTAATTGATGCTTTATACTTATGTACAAGGCAACACATTCCTTAGGATAATACAAAATATTGATAAATCAACTCATGGAGCTGTATTTTTTTTTCCACACATGAATTGACTAAATCTGGGCCTGGGTAAGGATATGATAAACAGCACATACCTAGTCATGCTACTGCAATATAACCTATATGAAAGTTCTATGGACCTATGGCTTGGCTGTGGTTATGGACACACACATACATATTTTATATAAACATATGTCTAAAAAGAAAAATTGTATTGGATATGGTAGGGAAACAAGAACTAGCAATTAATGATACAGGAATACAGATGGCGCAAGGATCATGAAGAAATTGCACAAAGTTGTCAACATGCATGGTATTTGGTCAAAGACAATTGCTCCGGTATCACCTATGGAAGGAGTAATTTTTGGAACTCCAGGCAAAATTCTAATTCTTTCATGCACACAGTGTTCGCTGAGGGCCTACTGTGTGGTGTGCTGGACACAATGGCAGTAAACATGCAGAAATGGCTTCCTGAAGTTTGTCATGAGTAAGACCCAAAGTGGTGATCACATGGTGATGTTACTGAGCATGCCTTGGTGTAGCGAAAAATACAGTGAGTAGAACTGAGATATAATCCTCAAGACAAGAAAGGTATGATTAGTGGTTGGAGTTATAGGGATGGGAATTTCAGACAAAATGAACAGACTCTGTAGACTGTATAGAAAATCTTTGGCCCCATCAGATAAGGGCAGAGAAGTCTCAGCCAATTTCTTCAGGGCCTTGTCAGTCTTTGATCACATAGAGTTCAAGCACTTGCCATTCAAACCTATACTTTTGGGTAGCTCAAAATTACATTTGTCATGATATGAGGATAGAACATAATTATTCAATTTATGTTACCTTGTTTTGTAATTCTTAAATATTTAAAAATGTCCTCTGTGGCCCATGCCCTACATCCTTCTAATGTTACACTTAGGTTCAGAGAACTTGGAACTTAAAGGTTTATTGATTAGAAAACATCCTTGTTTAGGTTACACTACCTTTAGTTTTTCCCAGAATCAGGCACTGGTCACCTAGAATGTGACTCATTTAGTTTTCCTGTTTTAGTATGCTATTGCCTTAATAGACTCCACACTTAAACCCAAATAGGAGCTGTTTCTGTCTCTTTCAAAGGAAGTAATACCTGATCGTGATTCTCCTATGTCCAGCCAGTTTCATAGCCTGTTTGTGACATCATAAATGTTTCGACTTCAAGGATTGTTTATGTGGAATGAGGTTGATAGTCACAAATTATGTCCCAAGGTTAATCAAGTGCTCCCAAATCTTGGTCTTAAAAAAAAATCAGTTACTACTGAAAGTGTTATCAGATAAAATCTTGGACTTTTCTACAGATTTTCATTTGCTATATTGAATTCTAAAATTTTGTAAGTAACTCAATTATGTTGGGCTGTAGGATATTTTCTAATTATGGATTTGAAATTATTGTTGAAAATTAAGTTTAAGCTTTATAAATGTAAGCCAAGGAAAAGAGCATATTTAAACGAGTTTCCAATAATTCTCACTGTCTTAGACTACTGTACACTACTGGTCAGAAATGTGACTGGGAAATCAGCTTTGTGGGGGTGGAGCCAACTGTTTTCTTTCTTGGTATGTGACCCAAAGGAGAGAAATTAAATTAGTGGTGTGTACTTACCCAAGTGTTCTCCCAGAGGATATGCCTGAAATGTCTAACTAAACAAATCAAGAAATCTATGAAACATGATCAGTCTGTTTGTTTTCTTTTAATTTCCACTCCTTTTCTTACCACACATGCATTTTCTGAAGTTTCTCTTTTTTTTCCATTCTTTCCTCTATTGCTTTCCTATTTCTTTCACTATACAATTTAATTTCTGTTCTACTGTCAATTCTTTTCCCTCTAAGAACTTTATATACTTAGTTTGCCCCATATTTATTTCTCTTGTATTTCATGAGTAATTATGCCTTAAAGAACTATTATATTATTTATATTTTGAGCCCAAAATAAACTAGCATTAAATTCTTTTCAAATACTTCAGATATTTAGAACCTAAGTTTTGCTTTGGATCCAACCTTTTGGTGCTTTTCTTTGTTTCCATAGAAGTCTAATGTGAAGAATATTAAAATAGTTCACTGTGCCAAGCTACCTGGTCTTTCATGCACAAATAATCTTCAGACAATTTTTTAAAAATAATAAAAGCCAGAAAGGAAATACTAATTCAGTATGGCCACACTGATAAGAGGATAAAAGACATCCAATGACCCTTGACCATCCAAGTCTATATTCAGAGTCTTGATATGAGGATAAGGTTTAAATAGTAAGCAAGATATACACTTGACAAAGCAGGATCACGAGGCGTGGTCACCTGCCCAGCACTGTCTCAGGGCCAAGTGTTTTCCTTTCTTTCTTTCTTTCTTTCTTTCTTTCTTTCTTTCTTTCTTTCTTTCTTTTGAGGTTAGTCTCTATTTCAACATTGTCTGGCAAGTTCTTTATTTGGCTGCCCTTTCTTCTTACAGCAGGAGATTTTTGAGAAATTCTCATTTCTTGGGTTTCATTTTTTTTCAATGGTATGACAGCTAAACAGGCAAGAATAATGATCTCTTTAGTATATTAATCCTCTTCCCCCGATACAGGCTAGATATGTTTTCCCAATCTTGAGGTGAAATATGGCCATGTGTGATGCCTGGGGAGATGGCTCAGCAGTTAAATACATTTGGTGTTCTTGCCGAGGATCTGGGTTCATTTGCCATCACCCATGTGACAGCTCACAACAGTCTGTAACTCCAGTTTTGGGGGATCTGGAGACCTCTTCTGGCCCCCATGTGAACTTCATTCATGTGGTGCATGGACCTACATGCAAACAAACCACCTATACACATAACAATAGATAAATCTTTAAAGAAATATGCCTCTCTCTGAAACAAATATCATAAACAGGATGTAAGTAGGAGTCAATGTTAGAACATATTCAGTTAGTGTCAGGTTATCCTGTGTAAGAACCGTTTCTGCACGAGCCCCTTGGCAGATCCGTCTTGTTAATTTGACACAGTCTCACAATGAAGCCTAGGTGGTCTTCAAAATATGCTCTTGCTTCAACTTTCCAACTGCTGAGATTGTAGGAAAGCACTGCCATGCCCAGCATGACTTCATTTCAGTTCTAGTAACTTCCTTCCTTGCCTCTATTCAGTCTTCACAAAGATTTAAAAGATTAACTATCTGCCAGCTCCTTTTTTATGATCCTTCATGGCTGGAACCAGATTTGATTTTAATCAAAAAGTAGAGCATACACAGCCTTGGGAGACCGAGGACCCTCCTGGTACCTTAGTTTTACTAACTGCAGCCTCATTGCAAATGTACATGTGACATTATTTTCCTATAAATATAAATAACCAGATGCTTCAGCTCTTTGCAGTTTCACTCACTCCCAATGATGATATATGTTTTCAAAGTTCTCAATTAAATATTATTTATCCTCTCCTGCAAAGAAAAAATGGCAAACAGGACATTAATTCAATAGAGCCAACAGACCATCTTTTATTTGTAATATTAGACTGTGAACATACTTTTTTTTTTTTTTTAAAGCAAAATACTTTGTTTCCTTGAGGTATTACCTTATGTATCCCAGGCCTGCCTCAAATATATTAGGCAGACAAGGAGGCATTCATTGTCTACTACCCCAAGAACGGAATTTAGTTTTTCCTGCATGCTAGACTATCATTCTACTATTGACTTCCATCGGCACTCCCAGCTTTGGGGTAGGAGCTTAAGAAACAGAGGTGAAGAGAAAGAGAATTTTGGGGATGTGAGGAGTGTCAATGGAAACTGGAGGGGTGATTTATTCCTGGACAGGGACACAATGTTAATAAATGTATAGAATGGCAATGGTGGGGTCTGCTTAGGTGAAAGTTAACCATCTAGAATTGGATAGAACAACTCTCATGCATAAAATGGCTGCAAATTCTATTAAGAAAGTGAGTGGAGTCATGGAAGGAACACGGAATTCAAGTAAAGAATAGTACAGTCTTGCAACTAGATCAAGAGTAACAGGAAAGTATAGCTTCAATCAATCATAGGGACCAATCTATGATTGTGTGTTTGAATGAATATCAGGTTCATGGTGTCCGGAATTGTGCATCTCTCATTCATGGTTGTATCTACCATGCTTGCACAATGCAGGACACATGTATCAAAAAAATGTCTTGAGGGGTAGTGAAGTGGCTCAATGTGTAGTTATCTCATGCCACACCCGATGGCCTGACTTCAATCCCCAAGACCCTGTTTGTAAGAGTGAACTGGTTCCTGCAAGCTGTCCTCTAAGCTCCATGAATGTGCCATGATATGCACAACCCCTAGACATATACATATGCACACAAAAATAAGTGAGTAAAATGTAATAAACTATACTTGAAAAAAACTATCTTGAAAATTAAATAAGGCCTTTGTGGCTCACATGTCAACAAGACCAAACCACAGTCAAGTAGTTAAATAGCTTCAGTCACAAAATGAGGAGAAAGTCAGTGAGTTATACTATTGAATTTTATTCATCCTCTCCTGAAAAGGAAAATGGGAAACAGGTCTAAATATATTTTGGAAATCAAAAGGCTATTGAAATAAAAAGCAGCATTGTGACTCAGAGAACCTGTGGAAACTATGTTTGTGAAATAATCTTTTTTAGAAATTTGACAAATGAACTGCAACGGATCTGTCATGAGAGTTTAAGGATATTTTGTTGAATTTTTTTTCATGCTTAACAGATGATTTTCTGAGCTCCATTTGTTTGTTTCAACAAAACAAAGCAAACATTTCAAATATATCTTTTTTTCTTGCAAAATACAGAGACTCTCAGAAAATGATTTTATACAATTTACAAAATCATTTTCAAAGTTGTCCAGCATTCTTTGATGATGGCTACTAGTGTCTGTGGTAA